CCCGCAAAAGAAGCTGCCAAGTCACCCCCCTACCCCCCCCCCAAAAAAAGGCTGCAATCCCGATGAGCAACCCCGCGAGAAGAGGGGGGAAAGCCGGAGAAGGTGGAGGAAGAGGGAGAGCAGAAGTAAATTGAGGAGAGGGGCGATGAGGCGGCGCGTGACCATGAGGAGGCACGACAAGGAGGCAGACACAGAGAGAGAGAGAGAGAGAGAGAGAGAGAGAGAGAGAGAGAGAGAGAGGGGCGGACGCCAGCAGTTGGGGAGGAGGGGAGGAGACACATGGTCGAGACGAGGGTGGGTGTTACCTGTAGGACGCGGATACAATGATCGACGGCGGAGGAGATGGGGGGGAACGCCGGAGTCTGCAGAGCGAAGAGCGGCTGCTTGTTGTCGGACGGAAGCAGGCTCCGCCCGCTCTCAGGTAGTCGTCGCATTGACTACTGGAGAGGCAATTTGGTCCGGTATCTGGACCTAATTGAAGCTGGATACATGCAGTACCGGCCGCAATTGCGATCCGATATATAAGTCCTACCTGCGGTAGGTTGTTTGTTTTGTTTGAGCGTCGGAACATCGGACAGAGCACGGCGCTGTATGGATGTGTGAATTTTTGTTTACCCCCTCCTGAATACTGAGTAGGGTATTTTTTTTTACCCCCTCCTGACTTCTTAGTAGGGTGATGGATAGACGCGATCGCTACCGGTAGTGTCAGAAAAGGAAATGCTGAAATGCCAGTGCTTGAGCCTGGCTTGCTGTGCACGTTGAGTTTTGGGAAATTTGCAAAATGCCCCTGAATTTTTTCCATTTATTTGCGATTTGCCCTCGCGGATGTTTCCTGATTTGCCCCTCTGACAACGACTCAATTGGGCCTGAAATATGTTCAATATGCCCCTACCAATACTGCCGCCAAAATTTCCAGTATGCCCCTACCTGTTGGCCGTTGAGGACCTGCAGTAGAAGTTGCCATATGCCCCTACCAGTACCATCCATCTTTTCAGTATGCCCCCACGGCGGCCATTCCCCTGGCCCTGGGATGGGAGCTACCTGTGTATATCAGAAATTTGCTCATGTTGTCATCTTTCCGCTGCGCCCTTCCATCTTTTTGCATGAGTGTGTGTGTGTGCGCGCGCGCGCGCACGCGCGCGCGCGAGAGAGAGAGAGAGAGACGTGTAAGACGGGGTGGAACACAGACCTTCGTGAACAAACTCCGAGGATGTCGAAGTCGAGGACGTGAAGTCAGCATGTCGCAGCAGAAGGGGAATGAACTCGGCGGTGGATTGCAGGTGCAAGGGTGATGCGGAGTGCAGCCCTGCTTTTTTGGCGGCGGAGTGGAAAAGTAGGGAGTTCGAATTTGAATTCTTGGTGCCTCCCTGTTCAATGGCATCTCACAAAGATGCATGATCTGCAGGAGGACAAATCGGACAGGCACCACGGGAAATGGGACCGCAGGTCCAGGAGGGGCATTCCAAAAAGTTGGGGCCCTCACTGACAGGGGCCTGAAGTTCAGAGGCAAATCGCAAATAAACAGAAAACTCAGGGGCATTTTGCAAAATTTCCCTTGATATTTTCCACATATGGAAACCAAAACCGAGGGCTAAAAGGGGATTGCTTACTAACATTCCGGGGCGTAGGCTCCACAAGACCCTAGGCTAATGGTAGCCTTACCAGAATGTACTTGTACGAATCCGCAAGCCAGGTGCCTAATATGTACGTTGACAAGCAACATGCTAGATATTCAGGGGCAGTCTGACAAGGCTACGGCAGCGAATCAAATGGAAGTGGAAAGAGCAGCATCTGTACCTGAACGGCAAAGATATACAGGTGCATTCTGACAGGACCATGGATGGCCATGTCAGAATTTATTTTTGTATTTGATTGGTACTGAAGCCAGGGCCAGCATGTGTACCTGAGAGACAAAGGCATTCACATGCATTCTGGCAGAACCATGCATCATATAATTGGAGACTCGTTATAGACTCCCAGGGGGCTGGTCCCTTCAGCAAAGAGGATCGGTTTTAATTCCCGAATCTGGATGTGTTTTGTGCAAAGATGCATAAAAGCAGATCAATAGCAACTCTCTGCATCTCTCCAGCAAAAAAGTCCAGATCCAGGAATTCAATCCAATCCTGTTTGCAGGTGGGACCAGGCCCCAGGAGTAACCTGTGGGCTAACTTGCTACTTTTTTCCCCCCTCTTTTTTTTTTTTTTTTTTTTTT